CTTCTGCCACAAATTCCCCCAGCTGTGAGCCTTCCAACCTTCTAAGTATTCCTTTATATGTGGTTCAGAGTTCTGGGACCATCCCCTGCTTGGTCAGGTATTCTGTGTTGTTGTTGGCGGAGCTCTATGCTATACAGCCACCCGATCCGCCATCTTGTTTGTTCTCTCAGAACATTTCTTTTTAAATTAAAACAAAACAAAACCAAAAAGCCCACAACTTTGAAAAGTACTCAAGTTCTTTTAAATTCCATGGCAGCCAAATTAGGACTAATTCTGATCAAAGTGAATAGTAGTTGCATAGTAATGTCCCCAAAGAGTCCACTTCACACATCCCTCAAAGGGTCATCATATACAGATAACTGAGATGCCAGCTATTCGAATGATTATTTCTCAATTATCTTTATTTGTGCATAGCTTTCTGGTTCTAAATTGCACCGTTTTCAGCTTGCCTAAAAACTCTCAGATTATTAGACTATTGTCAAAAGATTTTATCTAATAAGCAATGTTTTCTTCAAGTGCAAATTCTTCTGCTTTTACATAAAGTTATCTTCAATGCATATTCAACATCTACATTTGTTAGTACATATTGCATTAAATTCTTTCTCTGATCAACACACTGTTATTAAATACTAAGGTCTGTGAAATTCCCAATTGCTCACATCCTCATCAGCACTTGGTATTGTAAATTTTAAAAAAAGCTCTAGCCATTCTGATGTCTGTGCAGTACATGGCTTTCATACACTGCTTGTGAGAATGTAAATTAATAGAACATTTTTGGAAAACTGTTGGGTTGAAAAATAGTTAAGCTCCATAGATTCTACTCCTAAGTATAAGTCAAAAAATGTTGCTACAGCATCGTAGAAATCTTTATTAAACAAAAACATCACAATGTAAATCTGCTGTTTCTTGACATAACCTCTATCTAGGGCTACACACTTCTGAAGGCAATAGTTCCCTTCTCTGAAGAATTCTGTGCTCTTCAATTTGCACCATGTCAAAACAGCAGCTTTGGCATCCTCGAGGGCTTTAACTCATGTTCCTTTGAAATGTTCTTTGAGTTTAGAGAACAAAAAAAAGTCTGAAGGGGCAAGATCAGGGATGTAGGGGGGAAATGGTGGGGTTTTCCAATTAAATTTTTGTTAAGATAAACTTTGTTATCCTTGAAGAATGATCAGGTGAATTGTCAAGATAGAAAAATAAAATTCCTCAGCACAATTTTTCTGGCCTTTGTCTCACCAATGTATTTTTCAATTTTCTTAAAACTTCATAAAAACAAACCTAAATGTATGGTGAATGCAATCAGTATCACACAATTTTACACTTGGAAATGGCAAACCTATTGTTTTATATATTTCACCAAAATAAAATTAATCAAAACACTAAATGACCACACACACCCCCTACACACACATACACACACAACACAAACCAGAGTGCTAATTCATTCAAATTTTGGAGATTTAGTTAAGTGTGGACATGGTTATGAAAGTCCAATAGCATTGATGTTCCATCAAATTTAGCACATTCCTTCTGTTGGTATAGTGTTTTTTGGTGTGTGTTATTATACCTGCCTAACTGGTCTGTGTTCCTGTGAGAGCATATGGTTTTGTGTCACTGTATATATTGAATACTTGGGCAGGACTTATTAAGGGGTTGAAAAATCTATGAGATTTTTCCCTAGTATATCTCTAGATGGCCTGGGTTCAGGGAAATGAGGCTAGTATTCTCCATTTTTGGAGAACAGGAAACAAAGAAGTGACTTTTTTTTTCTTCTATTCATTATGTATTTTGTGGTCCTCAGAAGGAAGACAATTGAATGTACTGGGATTCCTTCATAGCTCTGGAGTTCCAGGACAATTCAGAATAGATAGTCTTACAAAATGTACGTGCAAATGAGGTGCCAGGGCTTCTCCCACTCCATACTTGTCTGGTACATGAAGTGGGTCTCTAGCTTTAGGTATATGAGTTAAACATTTTACAACAATAGTGCCTATGATCATTTAAACTCAGACTGCCTATTGTAACACCTTTAAAAGAGAATGTCTCTTGATGGGATAAGTGGGTTGGAAGTGACTGCAAGCTGAAAGGTTGGAGGTCCAAACTCACCCAGAGGGTTGGTGAAAGAAAAGCTTGGTGGTCTGCCTCCTTGAAGATTTCTACTCTGTAACACATCTAGTTACCATGAGTCAGAATCCATATGATGCAAGGGATTTGTTGTTTCCTCGCTATCAGAAGTGCTGACGGGAACCACGCCCAAACTAATTTACAGGCCACAAAGCCCAGGTACTTACAGGGTCTCCCTGCAGGCCCTTTGCTCCATGGTCACCAGAAATCCCTTTCTTCCCTGGAATGCCCTAAAGTTAATACAAATTAGAGTAAGAATGGGATAGTTAAAGTTAATAAAAACAAACTAACAAACTAACAGAGAACTTATCATCTTTTTCCTGTTTTAAATAATTAAATATTTTTCCTACTATTTTTTAAACTAGAAAGAAGAACAACCAAAATTAGTTTCAGGCATCATATGAATAATGTAAGAGTGACCTCAATTTTTTGCCATAGTGGTAAAATATGTGGTGTGGACACATCTGTCATCCTGTTTAATTCTTACAACTGCTTTATGAATCACATAAGGCTTATTTTCTTTCTTTTAACAAGGCAGCTGCAGTTAAAAAGATTAGCCAATTTGCCTAAGGTGATTGTGTCATTTAGAAAGTGGGTTTTTGATTCAACTGTTCACACTCTAAAAATAGATAAATTCGATGATGGAAGGATTGCTGCAGTTGACATTTGTTCGAGATGGACGCGCATCCAGGTGCTCCTCCGCACCTCAGCCCCTTGTTTAATACCTTTAACTGCTGCCTTTAGTGTGTTGCTATTGTTAAGTGCCATTGAGTTGGTTCTGACTCATAGTAACTCTGCATAGGGTTTTTGAGGAATGGCGGTGGGCTGGAACTGTCAACCTTGCATTAAGCAATCTAGTACCTACTCTGCAGTGTCACACCAGGACTCCTTAGTGTAGCAGCTGCTTTTCATTGCAGTAGTCTCAAGTTTTCACTTTTTAGTGCCTTCCCACTGTGGCATGGAGTCTCAGGGTGGTGCAAATGGTTAAGAGCTGGACTATTAAACTAAAGGAGTGTGGTGGTTCCTTAGGATAAGCACTGGACTGCAAACCACAAGGTCTGAAGTTTGAGCCTGCCTGCTGCTCCACAGGAAAATAATAATAAAGCATTTCCTTTCTGCTTCCACAAAGATTCAAAGCTCTGGAAACCCTATAAAGGGTCACTATGAATCAGAACCGACTCAACGGCACTTAACAACAACAACAAACCTAAAGGTTGAAGGTTGTCTCGGGAGACAGACCTAGTGATCTGATTCTGAAGGATCACAATCATGAAAGCTCTTTGAAGCACAGTTCTACTCTGCACACTGGGATCCCCATGAGTCGAAATTGGTTCAACAGCAACTCATAGCAATAGCAACCACGTGTCAGGGCAAAATTCTCCACCACTGAGTTAGGCTGGATGAATTGGGTTAGCCAGAGAAAGAGACAGTGTCACTGTAAAAGTTCTTAGCATAGGCTTCAAGAGACCATGAGTGTTTTTCTTGTTTTGTTGTGTTTCTGCTACATCTGTGAAAATAACATGCCCAACATGGCCAGACTAATTCTCTGGTCCCAAGAGGAGGATAAGAGACATGTTGAGCAAAGTTTTCATGACACATAAGTCAAAGTCAGTCTAAATTAGTTGAACTCCTCAAAAAACCTAAGAACGCCATGTTTATTTCTATATGCAACTGAGGTTTTGCAGTTGTTTGTTATAGAGCAATTTTGTGGCAACAGCTTACTGATATATGCAAAGCAGCTGTTCTAGTCCAGTAATCACATCTTTATTTCCCAGTGTTGCCTTATTTTTTTTTCGATCTTTACCTGGGATCCTTCATCACCGATTTCTCCTTTTCTTCCAGGAAGACCACTGTCACCCTAAAAGAGAGGGAAAAACAAAAACAAAAAACACCCCTCAGATTTCCATTTTTGTAATGGGAAAACTCTCAGAAGGGCTTCTGTGATACAAGAAGAAGGCTTTACCTGTTCTCCATTTAATCCATAAATTCCACTTTCCCCAGCGTCACCCTGAAAAGACAGATAAGATTAGTACAGAGCTCACTGGGGAAAAGACGTCAGATACCAAACAAAAACAGTTTAGTTGTATGTTCTACATAGTTCAGCTGGCCCTGGGGAATATCAACGATTACTTAGTAATAGAAACTATGAACAAATAGGATGCTTTGCCTGCAATCAACAACAGGAATAAAGAAATGAAATCACTGGCAATAAAAAAAGAAAAGACAGAAAACCCAGTAGGCATTTACAATAATCTAAAAAACAAAACCAAAACCAAAGTATTTCCAGATAATAGATGGACAGATAAATGCACAGGGAGCATACCTTCTGTCCAGCGAATCCCCTGTTTCCCTGAAAATTGGAAAGACAGTGGTGGTTAGTGTGGGAATAATCAATACTGAGAGGACATCACAATGTTTTATGCGACTATTACCTTAGGACCTTTGGCACCATAGCATCCTTTAGTACCTTGCTCTCCCACTGGTCCAGGGGCTCCTCTTTCTCCCTGGAAAGAACGTACATCTAGATAAGTTGTTGTAATGGATATGTCTTGGAAACGTGAAAAAAAGTATTTGTTGGGGAAATAATGTGTGACTCTTTATGGTTTACAATTCCTAGTTCATGTTTATATAACCTAAGAATGGAAGAAAATTCAAGCTACTCTGATGACAGCACTTTGCTTTTGGCCCCACCTCATACTGTCCTGGGTATTACATGCATACAAATAACTGACAATTAAAGTATAGACCAAAATTCATCTTTCTGAAATCAAACATTCCTCTTGCAGTTCTTGCATTGGTGAGCTCCATCACCATCTGTTTAGTCTTTCGTACTGGAAACAAGAATATCATCCTGAGCACTTCTCTTTCCAAACGGTCACAAAGTAAGGTCAATTCAACCTCCTTAACCTATCCATTCATACTGTCCCAGACCAGGAGAAGGATGGACCTCTTCACTCGTACCTGTTGTACTATGAGATGTCTACCTGCTAGCCCTGCCTTATCATCCATAATGTTGTCTGAGCAAGCTTTATACACCCACATCTCCATCATCACCCCTGTGCTTAACACTATCCATGACAGCCAATCAATTAGATGACACAATACGAATTCCTCTACAACATATCCAAGACTCTTAAAAATCTGGTTCCCATCTACCATGTAACCTCCCTTGACTGTGCGCTGTATTCCAGCCATATGGACTCATGTGCTATTCTGAAAACACACCATTCTCTGACTCAATTACATGCCCTTGAACACAGTGTTCCCTCAGTAATAGAATGCTTCTCCTCACTGTGATGGTTAAAAGGAGTCCTAGTGATGCCGAGGGTCAAGCATTGTACTGCTAACTACACGGTTAGCAGTTCAAACCCACCAGCAGCTCCATGAGAGAAAGACGAGGCTATTTGCTCAAATAAAGATTTATAGTCTCGGAAACCATATGGAACATCTTTACTCTGTCCTATCGGGAGTGTGGTGAATCCACAGGATAAGCACAGGACTGAAAACCAGAAAGTCAGTGGTTTGAGCCCACCAGCCATTCCGTGGGAGAACGATGAGGTTTTTCTCCTGCATAGATATTTTAAAAACCTTGGAACCCCTAAACAGGGTCATTGTGAGTTGAAATTAATGCAACAGCACAAAACAACAACAATATAGGGTGACTATTAGTCAGAATTGACTTGATGGCAGTAGAAGTGAATGGATGATCGTTAAGGTTGTGTGTCAACTTGGTTGGGCCATGATTCTCAGTGGTGTAGTCATCCCCCGCGATGAGACGTGATATAATGTAATCACGTATATGATGAGATCTACTATGAGCCAATCAACTGAAAGGGAGTTTCCTCAGGACTGTGGCCTGTTTCCAATATATATGGACTTTCCATAAAAGCTCTCCTGCTTTTTCTCTGGTTCTAGACCCTCCTTGTAAGGAGCTCTGGTAGCCTAGTGATTATGAATTGGGCTGCTAACCTCAAGGTCGGCATTTCGAAACTACCAGCTGTTCCATGGGAGAAAGATGAGGCGTTCTGCTTCTGCTACCGTAAAGATTTACAGCCTCAGAAACCCTGTGCAGGGTCACTATGAGTTGGAACCGACTCAACGGTACTTAAAAACAACAACAACAATAGACCCTCCCTATGGCTCATCATCATCTGACCCCGGGATTTTGGGACTTGAGCCAGCAGATTGCCATATAGCCTGCTGATCTTGGGAGTCATTAGCCTCTCTGGCCTGTCCGGCAGCAGCCTGCAATCTTACCTGCCGATCTTTGGTTCCTCAGCCCCTGCAGCTACGTGATCAAGAGAAGCCTCCAGTCTAAAGTCTATCTCAAGGACTTGGAATTTGCCAGCCTCTTCAACCAGGTAAGCCTTGATGTAACCCTCTCTATATAGATACATGGAGTCTTGGTGTGACACTGTAGGATAAACACTGGCCTACTAAACACAAGGCCAGTGGTTCAAATCTACCAACTATTTCTCAGGTACTCTCCATATATAAAGGAGCTCTGGTAGCGTAGTGGTTATGAATTGGGCTGTGAGCCTTAACGTCAGCAGTTTGAAACTACCAGCTGTTCCGTGGGAGAAAGATGAAGCTTTCTGCTCCCATAAAGATTTACAGCCTTGGAAACCGTGCACAGGGTCACTATGAGTCGGAACCGACTCCACAGCACATCACAACAACAACAACTCCATATACAGGGTGCGTATGAGTTGTAACTGATTGGATGGTACTTTAAAAAAACAATAACTTTAACTTTGTTTTTACAAAAACAACAACATATATATTTTAAGCATCATACTAAGTACATTGGTAGGCCTTAGAAATAAGAAAAGTTAAAAAAAAAAGAAAAAATATGGTTCTGATCTCAAGTAACTTCCAGACTAGTGAAAAGGCAAATGTGAAAACAGTGGTTACAGTTGTTATGTTGTTGTGAAGTGCCGTTGAGTCAGTTCCGACCCACAATGACCCTGTATAGAGTTTCTGAGGAGTAGCTGGTGAGCTTGAACTGTGGATCACACCAACTTGGCAGTCTAGCACATTAATCTGCCACACCAGGACTCCATATACATATATATATAAAAGAATAAATGAATTGATAAGTACTTTACTGAGTTAGGCACTTGATAAATAATGTGGTGAATGGTAAGATGCTTGTTGTTGTTAAGAGCTGTCGAGCTGATGCCTACCCATAGCGACACTGTATATGGTTTCCAAGGAGCAGCTGGTGAGTTTGACCTGCCGACCTTGAAGCTCAAACAGCTTTGCAATCTGGCACATTAACCTACAGCACCACACCAGGATTCCAAGGTAAGATGCTTAGTATATAATTATTAAATGGATGAATGGGTAGATGAATGCAAGAGAAGATGGATAAATGAGTGTAAGAAAGAGTAAAGTCCTTGATAAACAACAAGATGAGGAGGCTTACTTGTGCAAAACAGGCCAGAAATGGAAGTGGCTTGACTCTGCTGGTGAAGAGAATACATTTTTTTATTGAGTTCATTGTGCAAAGTTGGTACATGGTTGTGGTGTAGTGAATTAGTTATTATGGCTTTTCTAGTCAGTCTTTATAACTCTCACCAAATAACTGGGTGGAAATATGCAAATAAGGTGCTTGTGGCCCATCAGGGTGATTGGCTAGATGTTAATAATGTAAAGGTGCATGGTACTCTTATGGAAATGAAGCCAGGCAAATAAGGTGTATGGGATCCTAATGAGAGGGTTGGTCAGTTGTGCCACCCTGCGAGGCTTAGAGGAAAGCCAATTCTAGCACAGAAAGTGTACCTCACAGCCATCAAGAAAGAAGAGCCAGAGAGAAGTGCATCCTTTGCACCAAGGGCCCTTGTGCTGAGAACTTCCTAGACCCAGGAGACAGAAAGACAGCAAGCTGTAATGCTGGAGAGAAGTGAGAACAAGAATCAGTGGCAGAAAAATGGTGTCAGCAGAACCAGGACACTGGTAGGAGATGGCAGAATGGGCTTCCTGGCCCATGGAGCAAGAAAGTTGAGCAACTTTGGGTAGGAGGCTGGCTGATTGAATGGGGTGCCTCAAGGCACTTATTGGCAGAGCTAAAAGAACTTTGTATCACTTGTCCGAGCAGAGCAGAGGCCAGGCCAGCCCAAAGGACCAGAGAGAGGCTTGCCTGTGTCATGGCTGAGAAGAGGCTGTCCTAATAGAGAGCTGTGTCCCTGAGCATTCCTAAACATGAATTATTACCTGTTTCTTCGCTAATAAATCCTATAACTGGCTGCTCTGTGAGACCTGCGTGGCCACTGCACTGAATTATCAAACTCAGCAGTAAAGTAGAGGGTGCTGTGGGAGAGGTGGCTGGTGTCAGAACTGGCAAAAAGGTTGCAGAGAGGAGGTGTGTCTGAATACTGTTCCATAAGAAAATCTGACTCGGGCTGTTGATGTTGGGAAGGATTCTCCTTTCCACTTGTGAGGTTGGAGGGAGTCAGACGACAGTGCCCACTCCATTTTTATGGTGGTCAAGGAGGTTCATAAACCACTAATAACTATCCGAAGCACCATATAACTGGGATCAATGAGATTTTGCACATAAATTCTTAGACTCTGACCTTTATTGCTTCTCTCTGAATTGATGCAAGTGATAACATATTGTAAATATGCTTTTAGGAGTACATGGATCTGGAAAAAAACAACTTTGACTTACAGCAATGCCCTCTTCTCCCAGGTAGCCTTCACTGCCTTTAAAACCGGGCAGTCCCTGGAAGTAAGAAAAGGAAGACAACATTAGCATTCCATAGACACAAAGCAGAGATAAGCAAAATTCTTCAGCTTTACAGTTTTATCTCATATGGAATAGTAAGCATTTGAAAAACTACTCTTCCACTCCAAATCAAGACTGCATTCATACACACATAAAGAAATGAACTATTGAGACAAGTTTCTAGATAACTCAAGGTGTTATATGTGTATGTGTGTGTTTATCTATTCATGTGTATGAAGCATAATGTTGTCCACACGTGTTCAGGGTTATTCACAGGGATGGAGTTTCTTTTGAGTCACACATTCAAATGAAGACAGCTGTAGTTTCCCCTGATAAACTAAAATTCTCTCCTTCAATTAAAATATCACTTTTAGGATTTATGCTACAAACTTGTTTTAGAGGCATAGTCATGATGATTTGGAAATTATAATGGCATCTATAAATTATTTTTAAAATTAGACACACATGTAAACAAACAGTATTGAATCATCATTAAACATATCCATTGTATGTTTACATGTGTCTCAACATTTCTTAAAGTCCAAAATAGTACTTTTACTTAAGGGTATACCATTTGTTGTTTTTTTTTTTCTATTTTTTGGTGAAGGAATATATGAATCAATTTTGTTACTATTTTTTTTAATTGGCCTGTATTTTTTTTATTTTGGCCAGATAACACTGAATAAAACATCTTGTCTTCATTTCTCAAACTTGATTTTCAGCAGAATAGATAATATATTCTTGACTGATTTTGCAACTGCATAGCTGTGACCCCCCTCCCCAGTTATATATTTTTAAATGAAAATTGAAATGAGCTACTGATAATGAAGGAGGCTATCATTATTCAACATGAAAGATTAGCAATTCAGTTGATTTTTCTGCATCTTTGTCAGTTCTTCTAGAACAATGGATAATCAAGGATCCTGGCCATTGTTTCTCCTAAGATGGCTATAAAAATGTTTCAAAATGGTACTTATTTAGAGTGTCAAGGAAAACCCATGACTCTATAATCTGATATAGGAAAAGAGGAGAGAAGTAAACATTTACCTCAGAGGCTCTACCTAGGGGTTAAAATCACCCCTGAATTTACATGCCTAACCCCAATTTTGAAGGACATACTCCATTCAAATAAAGTGAACCATGAATCTAACTAAAATCACCTTTTTCCCTGGTGTTCCAGGATTCCCCATTGTGCCATCTCCTCCAATGCACTTGCAAAACAAACAGCAGCATGTTCTTTCAGCAACATTAACCTTGAAGTAAGAGAGGGCAGGAAATATATTACATCTGGTGTCACTGCTTCCCAGCTCATGCACACAAGCTCAATAGATGATTGAGGCTTTTACTGGAGTATGAGAAACCAGTTCACCATCAAAGGAACCATGATCAAGAATGAGAGAATGCATGTTGCTGTTGTTGTTGTTAAGTGTGGTCGAGTTGGTTCCAACCCATAACGACCCTATATAGGGTCTCTGAGGAGCAGTTGGTGAGCTTGACCCACTGACCTTGTCATTCAAACTGATTTGGCAGTTCAGTGCTTTAACCCACAGGGCCACAATAGGACTCCAGCTAATGTATGATATATTCTTTAATTCCATCTTTCCCTCCTGTGCTCTGCATTCCACACCAATTGAGGAATTCCGAATTGACACAAAGATGTCTTTTGGTTCCCCAGATGGTATCAGCTTAGCCCAACTCATTCTATACCAATTTGTTACCATGATTCTCTGTCTCCACCCTACTTTAGCAATGGCCATGGTGCTGTTGATTACCCTATGTAATTTTGCCTCCAAATATTTTATTAAACCAAATGCATGCATGCTGCTTTCCCCTTTCCCATTCTGCAAAATTTAGGTGCTAGAAGGATTTAGAGAGTTCCTGTAACATAGCTGAAACTGAGCACAGTGTTGAGCAAGCACTTCCAGAACGGTTTGTCTATGATAATGTTTCAGAAATACCAATTACATTCAGCATTTTGGAAGTATTTTCTGTATCGGGTGGAAGCATGGGAGAATATTCCTCTTTAATACACTGGCCAAAGCTGTATAATGAAAAGTCTGTCTTAAGCTACTTAGTCATCTCAGAAATAGCTAGCACATTCCATTACATTTTTACAATTAATCCACCAAATTTGTTTTCAGGAAAATTCTGTTTGTGGTAAATGCTATGCTTCACTTTAGTGGGATAGAACCAATTTTTGTGTTGAGAAGTTGAAAATTCTAGTGTGACAAGAAAACATCTTGTGATAAGCATTTTGTAATTTTCCCCCTTTAATTGTTTCCTATTATACAAATGTTCCTTTTATGGCATTATAGAATTATCTTCTCTTTTCCTGAAATTAAAAAAACAACAAAAAACAATAAAATTGGAAATGTGTGACTCCAAACAGCAAATGGATTCTATAGCTCACTATTGGAAAACTTAATACTAACTTTCTTTGGATTACCACAAACTTATAACACCAAGTCTATTACTAATACTATAAAATAGACCTATTGTTAAATTCATTATTGCTTTTCTTCTACAGTGATTCATTTATGTGATACCTAAAATCTAACTGGCATGTTTTAAAGAATAACTCCCTCCCTTTATGAATTATCAATACAGATTTCAAAGTGAAGGTAAGAGGCAAAATATATTTTGTAAAATAGGTACTATACCTTCCCCATGTAGGAAAGGAATAGCAGCAAAACTGCTATATTCTTTGTGTTTATTTTTAAATTTATGCATTTTACATTGTATTATTTTTGCATTTCTATATTACTATACCTGGTGTGGAGTACTAGTGTGACAGTGTGGGTTGATGTGCTGGACTGCAAGGTAGGTTTGAATCGCAAGGTTGGCAGTTCAAGTTTATCAGCCACTTCTTGGATTGAGTCAGTTCTGACTCAAAGGCACTTAATAACAACATACCTGGTGTGGCACTGTAGGATAAGTACTGGATTGCTAACTGCAAGGTTGGGGGTTCAAACTCACCAGCCACACCGTGGAAACCATATACATTTCATTAGAAAGTGTTCTGATATACTCATTATAGATTTCACAGGCTATTGGATTCCTGGTGTGGTATTGCAGGATAATTACTGTACTGTTAACTACAATGTTGGTGGTTCAAACTCAACCAGGAAACCCTACTAAGGGTGGCTATGAGTCGTAACTAATTCCACCACCCTGAATAACAACAACAACAATATTAGCAACTAGCAAACTACATTTTACTAGCCATTTTTTCATTTATTAAAATAAAAAGAGTACCGTATAACTTGGTAACACTTCACCAACGTAGTTTGAATTTCTTTTTGAAAGAAAAATGATTGAGATGAATCTTAGTTAGGCATTGCTGCCGCTGTTAGTAGTTGCCTTCAATCAGTTCTATAAAACAGATTATAAGGCAAAAAAATCTCCAAGTCAAGATGACCATTAAAAGTCCTTCAATTGCTCATAAAGTACAGCAAATGGTATCCACTGTCACTACTATTGGAGCAGATTGCTCTTTCCCTTGTTGAACTCCAAATGTGACTGGCTTTTATGTACAAGCCACGTTGTAAGGCAAAGAGACATCTTAAACAGACGGATTAGACTTTGGTGAGCTGTGACAGATGCTCAAGTTCCACAAGGGATGTGATGACTGACTGACTGAGGGAAAAACTTGCCTTCTCAGGTTCTCTGACACTTTCTGTGCTCATTGACTGGAATTTGGGCAGAATTATCAGAAACCCTGTACAGGATTGCTATGAGTCAGAACTGACTGCATGGCACATAACAACAATAACAATATAGGTGCTATTTGGAGTCCTGGTGTGACGCTGTAGGATAAGCACTGGACTACTAACCACAAGGTTGGTGATTCAAACCCGCCAGCTGCTCCACAAAAACCCTACACAGGGTTGCTATGAGTTAGAACTGACTCAGTGACACCTAACAACAATAAAAATTAATGCTATTTAAATAATTTTTCTCATTTATTTGTATTGTTTTTCCTTTTTTGGTCAAGCATATATATTAATGCTTTGATACGTCTCTAAGTTACATTTCTTTCAAAACACTTTCCTATTTAGAAAAAAAAATTTTTTTTCCTATTAATTTCGAAAAATCTTTCTTTGCTTCCCAATGAACACAACTAGTTATAAGTCATAAGCACAAATATTAACTCTACATACAAAACTAATAGAAAATTAAAGTTCACCAGCCTTTTCTGAATCACTTACCAGCTGCTTTGACAGCAAGCTCCCGAGATCTTTCATTCCAATAGTCAGCTGTGTTTTGTACTCAAATCCTTTTCCAAACTCAATGTACATAAGATTGTCCAGGTCACTTGAATGAGCAGTTCCATCCAGAGCAACAGTTATGAGTGCGTTCAGGCCTGTTCAACACATTTAAAGAGGTGTCAGTTACATTTCATAATAGCTGACAATAGGTGACAGTTTACACTTCCCCAAGAGAGGTAGGTTTGGTTATTATAATATTTCTGCATATGTACGTACATTGTTTTTGTAGGCATTGGTATTCTAGCTGCAAGAAGAGCAGTAATTTTATCATTCACTTCACTCAATCACATGATGTAAAACTGACAAGTGATAAGACTAGACGAAAATAACAGCACAAAAGGAATGTTGTTGTTGTTGTTAAGTGCCCTTGAGTTAGTTTTGACTTATAGTGACCCTGTACAGAGTTTCCAAGGACTGGCTGGTGGATTTGAACCATTACCTTGCAGTTCAGTGTTTACTCTACAGTGCCACACCAGGATTCCCACAAAAGAACCCTGGTGTACTGCTGCAGGATAATGCACTGGACTTTCAAGGTCAGTGGTTTAAACCCACCAGTCACTCCTCAGAATCCCTACACACAGGGTCATTCTGTGTTGGAACCAACTCAACGGCACTTAATGACAATGAAATGAAATAGATTAGGAGTCCAGATGTGGTGCTGTGGGATAGTACTTGACCACAAGGTCAGTTTGAACCATAAGGTAGGTGGTTCAAATGCACCAGCTGCTGCTCAGAAACCCTAGACAGGGTCATTATGGGTCGTAATTGGCTCAATGGCACTTTCACAACAAGAACAGATTGCAGCCAGAGGATATTGTAACAAAGCCTGCATTCCCTGCATTGTCTGAATTAACGAGTATGAGTTTTTATAAAAAAGGTCCATAAGGCATCCTAAATTACAGAAAAATTCACATGTGTACAAAATTGTTCTTGTTAGGTGCCAAAGAATCGGTTTCAACTCATGGTGACTCAGTATAGGGTTTCCAAGGAGTGGCTGGTGAGTTTGAACAGCCGGTCTTGCAGTTCAAACTCACCTCAAAGTCCTGCACTTATCCTAAAAAAATAGGTGATGTAAATTTTTGCCACACAAAGGAAGATGGGGTCCTTGGCATCACCTGGGACTTTATCAGAAATGTAGAATTCCAGGTCCCACCCTAGATATCCTGAATCAAAATCTGTATTTTCACAAACCCCCAGGTGATCTGTATACCTGCTAAAGTTTGAGAAGTACAGCTCTAAACGACCTCATAAGGAATCCATAATCCCATCAGAAATATAAATCATAAAAGACAATAATAGACCTATTGTTAGGCAATAAGAAATAAATGATGTCCAATTACCTAGAGCTGCGTGTGGTTCACAGACCTTGGGGCTTCATACATCAGAAAACAGGCAGTCCCCAGGTAACAAATGATATCTCTTCCTAAGTGTGTCTTTAAGTTGAATTTGTAGATATGTCAGACTAGGTACATATGCATATGGTTCTTATTTAGCGTTACTGTTATGCAAGAAAAGGCTGGAAGCTTTGTTGGTGATTGAAGAGCTGCACATGCAGTACATAAAGGTGATCATGCTGATGAATCTGTTTCGAGTAGGGGATGGTTCAATCATTTCAGAGCAAGGGCAAATTTACATAACATCAAAGAGCAAACACCAAGTGTCTGTAAGTCTGACATTTTAACCAGAGACTTACTGTATTTCAAATTAAAGTGTTAGGGATTAACATAGGGTCACCAATGACTTATTTTGTAATGTTGTTTTTGTTGTTAAGCATCACTGAGTTGGTCTGACTCATAGTGACCCTGTATAGAGTTTCTGAGGAGCAGCTGGTGGGTTTGAACTGCCAACTTTGTGGTTTGCAGTCCAGTGTGATGATGACTATAAATCAGGTAATCTTTATAGTGATAGTAACCATAGCAATGAGGGTATTACTATTTATTAATAATTACTTTGTGCCGTAGTCCCAGTATGACACTGTAGGATAAGCAGGTTCAAACCCACCAATCACTCCTTGGAAACCCTATACAGGATCACTATGACTCAGAACCAACTCAACAGCACTTGACAACAACATGTGCCTGGCATGTGATAAATTCTTTACATGCATTATTTTATTTGTATCCTCAAAACAACCTTATAGGTGTGAGGGATTATCGACTTATTTTACAGAAAGCAAACTGAACCTTTGAGAGGTTAAATGGCTGGCCCAATTGGTAATTTTAGGTTTTCACCCAGACAAGCCTGATTCCAAAGCCTGCACTCAAAAGGACATTTTAACAACAAAACATAATGAAATAATCACAGAATAAAGGCCAGTCCTATAAACTGAATACATTTTGCTTAAAGAAAACCAGATTTCCATTGGCATCATTTACGTCATTTTATTATAGATGAGTAAAGAATTTTCCAGTGGAATTTGGAAACCAATGGACTGAAGTAGATAAAGAAATGTTCTAACAGTTGGCTGAGAGTTAGGAACACCATCTTCTATAGTATACTTATATAATACAATATTTTAATGAAGCAAGGGGTTGGTGAAGAGGAGAATGAAGAGAATAATGTTGCAGGGACATACTGAGGAGGCTCAAGATCTACAAGAGGCAACAGAATGGTTGGCTGAAGAGAAGTCAAGGAAAGAAACATCAAAGGATAGCATGACCGACCAATTAATCCTCATTTACAAGGAACTTTCTGGTTTCAGTGTCCAAGGTCCTAGATTCTTGAAAACCTCACAGTCCCAGGCAAACCAAGACAGTCTGTCCCCCTTCCAAAATGAGAAAGAAGACAGTGAGTGAAGAAGTGGTGGGTATTGGCTGGGACAGATAATGAAGAATGCTGTGTAGATAGATCGTTTGGCATTTAATGATCAGATGAGCCCATGTAGATCTACACCATGAATATTTGTAAGTAAGGAGTCTTCAGCACAGTGATTAGATGCTTGGCTGTTAACCAGAAGGCTGGAGGTTCAAACACATCCAGTGACTCTGGGGAGAGGATTGTGGGGAGGACTGGCAGTTTGCTCTCATAAAGATTACAGTCTGTTGCATGGGCTTACTATGAGTCAAAAGTCAATTCAACACCATCTAACAATAACAATGTATTTAGAAGGCAAAATATTTTCACATTTTATTTTATAAGTTCTCAGAAATGTAAAAATTTATGAGTTATAAGAACCTTGGGAGTGTTGACTTGCAGGAAATGTGCATATCATTATCATTGGTAACAGATATTCTCATGAGGGATAGATACAAATCTTGCTTCTATCAGAAGCAGGGGACCCCAATCATATGACCTTTAATATCTTAAATTTCCTCAAAATTAATTAGGAAAAAAAGATTTTAAGAATTAGAAGAATAAAGAATCTGCCTGATTCCACAGGGTGCTCTACAACATACACTGAACCACAGCACCAGTACCATTTTGAGGCATGGATTCAAATTTTTGTTCTCTATCTGATGCCCAAGGAGCCCCGGTCATGTAGTGGATTATGAGCTGGGCTCATAAACTGCAAGTTCAGCAGTTCAAATCTACCAGTTTCTTTGTAGGAGAAAGACAAGACTTTTTGTTCTTGTAAAGATTTACAGCCTCAGAAACCTTATACAGGGTTACTATAAGTCAGAACCAACTCAGTGGTACACAACGACTACCGCTACCTGATGTCCACAGGTAGCATGGGGCACAACTTCCTGGTGAGGCTACTTACATTAGCTGAGGGGAATTCTCCAGAGAAAAGAGGAGCTGTGTGTTGTTAAAAGCCAAAACTCACAGCACCTGGGAGGTGGTGTAGGAGAACGTGTCTAAAGGAAGGGATATGGGTAGGGCATAGTAGCATCCACTAACAGGACAGTATTTTGAAATCAAACCAGCACAGATGAATGAAGTTTTCTTCTCCCGACCCACATTTTAATAAGAACTGACACTAAGGCCAAATGCCACTGGATCCTAAAGCCCAAGTCCAGTGTAAGAGCTTTTAAAACTGATACAACACCATAGCTGTTCCAACTATGGTAAGAAGGAAACCAAAACCAAAACCGTTGCTGTCGATTCTGACTCATAGCAACCCTGCCCTGTAGGACTGAGTAGAACTGCCTTGTGGGAGTTTCCTAGGCGATAATCTTTACAGGAGCATCTTGCTAGGTCTTTACTCAGAGCAGCTGGTAGGCTCAAACCACTGACCTTTTGGTTAGCAGCCAAGCACTTAACCACAGGGTTCCTTTGATACAAAGGAAGGAACTGATTGAAAATTCCCCAAACAAAGGTAAACTTGTCCAATGATGCTTGCAACGCTGGAAACTAGTTTTAGAAGAAGATACTTAAGCTAACACCTTCTTTCTTGGTGTAAGAGAAATATATGCTATACTTCTACTAACACTAAAGAAGTAGCAATGTTAGATAATATGGGACAAGGGAGACAGGAACACTGTCCAAGAAAACTTAAGATGAAGAAATACAATAATGCAAGACAAAGGATAGAACTTTGTATTTTGGCCTTTTTCATACACTTAGAGCATGAGGCAAAAATAGATGCCAAGATGGTCTGAGGGTTCATTTGCTCTGCCAAGTACATCCAGAGTGGAGAGGTTGGAAAAGCCAGTGTTATTTGAATGCCTGGAAACTTAAGAGCCAGGGTTGAGTGCTAAGATGATAAAGTTAATAGATACTCCTTTTCCATTGCTTCCCCAAACTCAGTACCTTCTTTTCTGAGTTCATCAGACTTTTGTTCAAGTTTTTCAACATCACCGTCCAATCCATCTGAAAATAAAAGAACCACCTAGGAAAGTATTCAAAAAAGAAAGATGAGTAAAAAGAAGGTCTCTGCAACTATTGATCAACAAATAACATAAAAGCAAGTTACCTTTCCTCGAGCAGCTGATTTATTCTGAAATGTATCCCACAGTGAACTCAAGAGGTTTGCATTGAGAAGAGATGGCTCTTTAACTATCACATTCTTCAAGCTGTTCAAGATATTTTCACTGTAGATCTCAAACTTGGGATAGTATTTTTCCATGGCATTTGTCACTTGAAAAGCGACACTAACCTGAGTCTCTGTTCCCACTTCACAACTTAACCCATTGAGGGAGCTGACCGCACGTAAGATGTTTTGAAGATAGGTTCCCATCCAAGACTGATCTTCAAGCAAATGTTGCCCTTTCTGCTGAGTTGAGATGTCAAATCCCACCACGATGTCCACAAAACAATCTAGGATTCAAAACATAAATATCTTTTATTAGATTAAAAAACACCTTTATTTAGATGATTTACAGGCCATGACTGATTCAAGGGACTAGGAATTAATTCTATTCCAGTTATGAACTTGGAAACAAGGAAGACTAAGTAATGGAAGAAGATGAAAATCTCTTCTTTAGTACCTGTGAAAAATGCAAATGTGCACTCTTTTTTTTTAATAAGCTGCTATAAAATCTAGATAATTCTATAGTAACTAAAGTTCTGAAAGATTTTATTGAGGTCACTGAAAAAGCTATGCAGTCATTTAAACAGTTCTAAATTACTGTCCTAGAAATGTCAGTAGTCTAAACTAATAAAGCTCTCTCATGCTATTTATAAATTGAAGTCAGTCAACAAACATTAAATTACAAGTTATAAAGTAAATATGAAAGTATCTAAGAAACAGTAAATCACAAAGTACTTTCCTAAAAGAAGGGTCTCTTATGATGTACCTTTCTAAAAATGTCTCTGATTCTTCTTTTTGTCTCCTAACATTCACCCAGAAAAGAAATATTAAAAACATCATAAAAATCCAAGAAGCCTTTAAGATCTTGCTTTGTTTGAGTCCTTATTGTTTTTGTTGTTAAGTGCTATGGAGTCAGTTTTGACTCATAGCAATCCTGCACAGGGTTTCTGAGGAGTAGCTGGTGGATTTGAATGGCCAACTTTGCTGTTAGCAGTCCAGTACTTATCTCACAGCACCATACCAGGACTCCTAGAAGTGAAGAAACTAAACACCAAAGTACTCTATTCGTATTCAACTCTATCAAAGATGGTGCTGCCTTCAAGAGCCCAGCTACTCAGGGAGCCAACGTCCCCACCATTTTGAGATGTTGCATTAACAGTGCTTTGCTTTTATTCTTATTCACTCCAGGGAAATTTGAGCATTTGAGAAGTTAGGTGGGGCTTGATATTTCAAGCTGAGCCTCTGAAAGGTAGTTAATTAGAGAAGGATAAAGTCTGTGCAACAGTTTTAATTTTCCTGAAATCCAGATTTCTGGGATCCATGGAATTGGGTAGACCCATACCTGGACCAAGAAGCAGTTGTTTGAACAGAACATGGGAACACTGAATGTTTTTTAAAATTAAGAAAGGTTTGTGACAAGGTTGTATTCTTTCACCATACTTATTCAACCTGTATGCTGAGCAAATAATCCGAGTAGCTGGGTTCTATGAAGAAAAACATGGCATCAGGATTGGAGGAAGACTCATTAACAACCTGCGATATGCAGATGATACAACCTTGCTTGCCGACAGTGAAGAGGACTGAAAATATTTACTGATGAAGATTCAAGAGCACAGCCTTTGGTATAGATTATATCTCAATGTAAAGTAAACAAAAATCCTCACCACTGGACCAATAAACAACATTCTTATCAATGGAGAAAATATTGAAGTTGTCAAGGACTTCATTCTTCTTGGATCAACTATCAACACTCAAGGAAGCAGCAATCAAGAGATCAAACAACGTATTGCATTAGGCAAATCTGCTGCACAAAACGTTTTAAAGTGTTGAAGAGCAAAGACGTTAGCTTGAGGACTAAGGTGTGCCTGACCCAAGCCATGGTATTTTCAATAACCTCATATGCATGCGAAAGCTGGACAGTCAGTAAGGAATACAGTAGAACAATTGATGCCTTTGAGTTATGGTGTTGGAGGAGAGTATTGAAAGTGCCATGGGCTGCCAAAAGAACCAATAGATCTGTTTTGGAAGAAGTGCAGCCAAGATGGAGGCTAAGATGGCCAAACTTCGTGTCTCATACTTCGGACATATTGTCAAGAAGGACCAGTTACTGAGGTTGGCCCAGGATCGGGCCAGTTTCATTCTGCTGTGCATAAGGTTGCTATGAGTCAGTACCAACTCGATGGCACCTAACAACAACAAATGGAGCTTTTGCATCATCTATTTCCACAGATGTAGTCAGTTTGATTTGTGTGTATTACATCAGGTGGGGTCCATATTGCCTTTTATGTTGTTTAAAAAAGGCATTTGCAATGATCAAATCATTGGTCTTGCAGAATTCGATCATGTGATCTCCAGCATTGTTTCTATCACTAAGGCCATAGTTTGCAATTACTTATCCTTCCTCTTTGTTTCCAACCTTTGCATTTCACTTGCCAGTAATTTATCAATAAATCTTGATTGCATGTTTGATCAATTTCAGACTGAAGAAGTTGGTAGAATTCTTCTATTTCATCATCACTGGCTTTAGTGGTTGGTGCATAAATTTGAACAATAGTGGTATTAACTGGTCTTCCTTTTAGTCATATGGATATTAGCCTATCATGGACAGTGTTGTACTTCATGACTGATCTTGATATATTCTTGAGCCCCTCAGGTTGGAAGGCACATGAAATGCAACTAGGAAAGAACGGTCTCTTTAAAGTAGAGTTGATCGTGATAACACGAATGGAGTAAAGCCCTTGAGACCTTCATTTGCTGATGGGGCACAACTCAAAATGAAGAGAAACGGCTATAAACATCCACTAATAATTAGAACATGGAAAGTATGAAGTACAAATGTAAGAAAGTTGGAAATTTTGAAAAATGAAATGGAACGCATACACATCGATATCCTAGGCATTAGTGAGCTGAAATAGACAGGTGTTGGCCATTTTGAATGTGACAATAACATGGTTTACTATGCCAGGAATGACAAATTGAAGAGGAATGGCATCACATTCAGTATCAAACAGAATATATCACGACCAGTCATGAAGTACAACAATAATTCCAATAAGATAGGGTGGATTTTCTTTACTCTATGGAATTATTTGATTCCCTAGTCAAAATGTTACTCTGATTTGCAAACTGTATATTAAATAAACTTTAACCAGTTTCCATTATTTACTTAATATGATTTTTTGTTTTAACAAGACATACAATATATAACTTAAGAATTTGGTTAAAAACTACAACTTTCTTAGGCAAAATCAACACATATGACTTGTTTGACAAAATAACAAGTATTTATTTTTAATTTGCTTTGTTTAGATCAGCAGCTTTGCAGACAATTGCTGTGTGGAAAAATGTTTGCTCAGGTTATCTGGCCAGTTGGATACAATGGCCAGTTAGACATTTGTAAGTCTTTTAAATTAAAATGTCAGTTTCATGCCTTAAAACAATGATTGGTAACATGAATCATTTTTAATGAGAAGTAAAAATTGGAAAGGGCCTATAAGAGCCTTGTTGTTGTTAAGTGCCGTTAAGCTGGTTCCTACCCATAGCAACCCTGTATAGAGTTTCCAAGGAGCAGTTGATGAGCTTGAGCTGCCAACTTTGATGTTCAAACAGACTTTGCAGTCCAGTGCATTAACCCGCTGTGCCACACCAGGGCTCCATAAGAGCTTTATTTGCTAATAAATTCTCACCATGAAATGTAAGGTAAATCAGTGTGTTACCAAAAAGATGGAAAGGTTGGTCTTCTTATTTTATTCTATTTTAGTTTATTTGAAAATCTCAATTCAGATTTTCAGAAAGTGAAGAGGAAAGTCAGTCAGTCAGGAGCATCAGCATATACCGTTTTAAAAGTTCCTCTCCAATCTATATTCCTCTCTTGGACAAACATTGTTTAAACCCAGATGGAAATGTTTCAGTAACCAAGATAAGTCAGTACTTTCAAAGAAAACATTCTATTGTGGGAAGAAGAAAAAAGAACAGTTCCCTACAAAAGTGGAGTATTTCAATTTTTGGTCTAGAATGCTGAATTACAAATCTGACCTATGTAATTTTCTTGTGGTTATTTAGCTAGTTCAAATTGATAAATGATTTGCTAGTAATGTGACCAAAAATATTTTATTTGGGAAATGAGTCCAGAATTAGCAGCCACATGTGTTAGTGAAATTAGAGCACTGCAGGATAAATGCTGGACTGTAACTGTAAGGTCAGTAGTTCAAACCCACCAGCCACTCCTTGGAAACCCTATGCCAGGTCTTTGTGAATTAGAACCAACTCGGAAACACTTAGCATAGCACATACTGCTAACATGGGCTTTTATGTAACAGCCTTGGATACTCTGTGGAGGTGCTTGCCCATAAATTAGGATCCTATCAAAATGTTAGAGCTGGAGATTTCAATGATAAGGCTGTGTTTTAGAGTAAATCTCACAATGGTGATTAGGACGAGCTGGAGGCAAGCACACATTTGGAAGCGAGTGACAGGAAGAAGCCTAAAATTACATTTCCGAAGAGAAATAATGAATGATTGAACTAGAATAAAGGAATGGGGATAGAAAAGGAATAATGAATGCAAGGGAAATGAAGAAGATAATCTATAGGACTAACTACCTGGTGGTGGTGTGCCGTGGAGTCGTTTCTGACTCATAGTGACCCTGTATAGGGTTTCCAAGGCTGTAAATCTTTACAGGAGTAGAAAGCCTCATCTTCCTCCCACAGACAGATCAGTTGGTAGATTTAAACTGCTGACTTGCAGTTAGCAGCCTAAGTCATAGACCACTATGCTTCTAGGACTCCCCACAGGATGGGCTGTGTTGTTGTTCAGTGACATCTGTTGTTATAAAGTGTCATCAAGTCAGCTCCAATTCATAGCAACCCTGTATAGGATTTCCGAGGAGCAGCTGGTGAGCTTGAACTATCGACCTTGCGGTTCAAATTGACTTTGCAGTTCAGCACTTTAACCCACAGCACCACACCAGGACTCCAAGTGCCATCTAGTTGGTTCCAACTCACAGTAACTTGGTATAGTGTTTCCAAGGACAGGCTGGTGGATTTGAACTGCTGACCTTGTGGTTAGCAGTCTAGTGCTTACCCTACAGTGCTAAAGGAGACACAAAAACTGACCGATATTCTGAGCTTTTGACTGCTGCTGTTGCTGTGTGCCGTGGAGTCGGTTCCGACTCATAGTGACCCTATACAGGGTTTCCGAGGCTATAAATCTTTACGGGAACAGAACACCTCATCTTTCTCCCGCGGGACAGCTGGTAGTTTCGAACTGCTGACCTTGCGGCTCGCAG